CTAAGCTATGTGGACGGGTACGTTTCATATGACCGAAATTAAAGATGGACGATTACGACGCTGAATCGTGACTGATTGATGACTCAGCATCCTCTGAATCGTCACTGTTTTAAGTGTTCGTTAGCCTCATGTTTGCAATCTGGTCTTCTTCTTCAGTGTGTGTGTGTCTGTGTGTGTGTACTTGTGTGTGTGGCCACGAGTGAGCAAGCATACCTGGCAACAGAAAACAGGAAGGGAGAAAGAAAGGGGCCTCATTCTTACAGATTGTCACAGAAAAATACCGGTGAAGACGACTTTTTTTTTTTTTTTTTTGTTCTTTCCAGTTTTTCTTTTCTTTGTTTTGTTTCTGTTGTTAAGAAGTCATTCAGTCTCCAACATGAGGGCACGCCGCTGTCCCTGCTCCAAATCCTCTTCCCCCTGCCACCGCCAGCCACAGCGCTCTGTCCCTCTGGCCCCGCCCCCCCCCCATAATAACACCCGATCCGTCCAATAGGGAGAGAGGTGAGGCAGGACGTGCAGCCCCACTGCTGACCAGTCAGAACTTGACTTGTCGTTGTTTGTTTGTTGTTTCCTTTTTGTTGTTGTAGACTTGTTATTTTAGAGCGCAGCAATGGGGGGTGGGGGGGGGGGGGGGGTGGTGGTGGAGGGGGCGGGTCTCTGGCTTTTCCTGGCCTCCGGTCCGGCCAGAAGAGGGGGAGTGGGGTGGGGCGGGGAGTAGGGGCGGGGCAGAAAGGGGGCTGGGGGCGGGGTTATGTCTCCTCCTTGTCGGGTTTGCTGACTGGTTTGCCGCCGTTCATGACCACCGGTTCGCTGGTTGTGCTTTTGGAAGGCGGGCCCCCGGCGAGTTTGGGCACCGCCTCCCCTACATCGTGCAACGAAGGCTCTCGGTACATCGCAACTGGAGCAGTGGAAGGAGAAACACACATGAATACATGAAACCCAGGTCTGTAGATACATACATACATATATGACAGTACGGTACGTTACCTTCTATAGGTTTAGGCAGGAAGTGTGCAGCTGGTTTGGTCTTTTTGACCCTGTTGCCCTTCATGGCCTGTCCCTCTTTATTGAGGCCCAGAAACCAGGCCCGGCCCGACTCCTTCTGTCTGTAGAGCATAGAGCTGTAGATCACATAGTAGTTCTCGAACACCGACTCCTTAAACTTACACTCTGCTGTAAACAGTTCCTAAAGGAGAGGAAAACACACAGAGAGAGAGAGAGAGAGAGACATACGGTGAGATCGCTCAGATGGACTCAGCTCATATACAGCGTCCTTATCTAACCTGTGTAATTGAGTATTGATGTGGTATTAGCCTCAGAGATCAGAGTTGACCCATTAAACCCGTAGGACCGGAGCAATTCCTCTGCCCTGATATGAGAAATAATGAAATCATATTGAGCGTCCACAGGCAGGGAGGGGCCGCAGCAGCTCTCTGACTGCATGATGTATTCCCCTCCCTCTGACGCTCTATGTGCTGTATGCACACCGATAACAAACCAGATATAGAGAGAGGAAAAAAAAATCAGATTGATTCTGGTGACACAAAGCCCAGAAGATCTCACCCCCTCCTCCTCCTCCTCCTCCTCCTCCTCCTCCTCCTCCCACCCACATCTGCTCTGCTGCTGCTATGTGTCAAAACTCCAGCGCCTCCAGTGGAGCACGTTCCAGCACAGAAACAGGGTGTTGTTGTTCTTACTGGAAAAATGGCGGCCTGACATAGGAACAGTCTTCCTTCGGGGAGGTCAGACTTCAGACAGTCAGAAGTCAGGACTCTTTAACAAGTGCAGCGTCTCCAGCAGCGGCTGCATCCAAAAGCTGCAGTCAGTGATGTTTTCATCTCAAGTGTTTTCTCTTATGATCCTGCAGAGCTGCAGCTCAGGAGTGTTTCAATCAGCCGTGGTCCTGTGGCTCAGCGTGTTAGACGTCTGCTTGGGGTTTCTCAGGTGGTGAGTTCAAGTCTTATGAGAAGAGTTGAATTTTGAAGTTGTGCGACCAAAGCCGACAGTCAAAGCCTCCAGCACTGAGCCGCCAAGTGTCTGGTCCTGTGGCTCAGTGTGTTAGAGCAGTGTGTGGTGTCTCAGAGGTCGTGGGTTCGATCCCACGCTGTCAGTTTTGCAGTTTAGCAGCCAAAGCCAAAAGTCAAAGGCTCTGAAACAGAGGGTTTGAGGAGCAGAGCTGGTGGCGCAGTGCGTTGAAAGAGCGTCTGCTGTTCCTGAGGTGGAGTGTTCGAGTCTTATGGCTGTTGTTGAGTTTTGGAGCCCGGTGTCCAAAGTGAAGAGTTAAGAGGGCGACCAGAAGAGCTGCAGATGTGAAGCTCGTCGGTGGCGTAAGGGGTTCACACACGGCCGGGGTGGCCGTGCCAGTCGGTCGGTAGACTGGTTCGAATCCCGCGTCCTGGCGTGTGGAGCGTTAGATAGGCCCACGTCCGCTGGAGGAGGTGGGGTTGGGGGGAGTCTCCCCCCCGGCCCCCCGGGGCGTTGAAGGTAGGGGGTTATGGAGGAGGAGACCAGAGCTGGCTTCTCTTTTACTGTAATATTAATAATAATATCATTATTAATAAATAATAATAATATTCATTGTTAATAAATAATGTTATTAGCAATATTATCAATTATATTAATATTAATTATATTATTAATATAAAAACTAAAACCTGTAAAGCAGCTCTAACCTTTATAACGTGTGCTGTAAACATCATATGTTTTATACTTGACATTATTTGCTTGAATGTTTCCAATAGAAGTTAAAGAGAGAAGGTTTCCTGTCAAACAGCAGCAGCAGCACCGACCCTGTGGGACTGAGCCCAGGGCTGAAGCAGGTTTCGGACCTGTGTGCTTGCTGGCACCGCCCCCTGAGCCCAGACTGAAAGCTGGCGCACCAGCGACATATTTAGCAGCTGCGGCTCTTCTGGGCGCCCTCTGAACTCTTCACTTTGGACGCAGGCTCCAAAACTCAAGGCCCTCCATAAGGCTCGAACCCTGAAGCTCAGCAACAGTAGACAGGCTTCCAACGCGCTGCGCCACCAGCTGAACCGACGAGCCTCCCGACCATCTTAACCATGTGAATAAAGCAAGTTCCTCCAGACTTGAGCCCCATCCAGCTTCAAACAAGAGCCAGGACATATTTTTCCAAGGACATATTATGACAGGCAGCCACGAGTGTCAGATATGAGCACAGGTCTCAACGCAATCCACCTTTTTGGAGAGAGGACGCTCATTAGTCAAGGAAAAATCTGGCTCCTGCACGGTGACAGTGACTGAGGTGACGAATCCCCTCTGAGGAAGTATGTTTTCCTGTGAGAGAAAAGTCATCTATGATCACGTGTACTGATGGACTGACCAGTACGTGGGTTTGATGATTAAGTGAGTTTTGAAGTCTGGTCCTGTGGCTCAGCGTGTTAGACGTCTGCTTGGGGTTTCTCAGGTGGTGAGTTCAAGTCTTATGAGAAGAGTTGAATTTTGAAGTTGTGCGACCAAAGCCGACAGTCAAAGCCTCCAGCACTGAGCCGCCAAGTGTCTGGTCCTGTGGCTCAGTGTGTTAGAGCGGTGTGTGGTGTCCCAGAGGTCGTGGGTTCGATCCCACGCTGTCAGTTTTGCAGTTTAGCAGCCAAAGCCAAAAGTCAAAGGCTCTGAAACAGACTGTCTGAGGAGCAGAGCTGGTGGCGCAGTGCGTTGAAAGAGCGTCTGCTGTTCCTGAGGTGGAGTGTTCGAGTCTTATGGCTGTTGTTGAGTTTTGGAGCCCGGTGTCCAAAGTGAAGAGTTAAGAGGGCGGCCAGAAGAGCTGCAGATGCGAAGCTCGTCAGTGGCGTAAGGGGGTTCACACACGGCCGGGGTGGCCGTGCCAGTCGGTCGGTAGACTGGTTCGAATCCCGCGTCCTGGCGTGTGGAGCGTTAGATAGGCCCACGTCCGCTGGAGGAGGTGGGGTTGGGGGGAGTCTCCCCCCCGGCCCCCTGGGACGTTGAAGGTAGGGGGTTATGGAGGAGGAGACCAGAGCTGGCTTCTCTTTTACTGTAATATTAATAATAATATCATTATTATTAATAATAATAATATTCATTATTAATAAATAATATTATTAGCAACATTATCAACTATATTAATATTAATTATATTATTAATATAAAAAGTAAAACCTATAAAGCAGCTCTAACCTTTCTAACGTGTGCTGTAAACATCATATGTTTTATACTTGACATTATTTGCTTGAATGTTTCCAATAGAAGTTAAAGAGAGAAGGTTTCCTGTCAAACAGCAGCAGCAGCACCGACCCTGTGGGACTGAGCCCAGGGCTGAAGCGGGTTTCGGACCTGTGTGCTTGCTGGCACCGCCCCCTGAGCCCAGACTGAAAGCCGGTAAAACCAGCGACATATTTAGCAGCTGCGGCTCTTCTGGGCGCCCTCTGAACTCTTCACTTTGGACGCAGGCTCCAAAACTCAAGGCCCTCCATAAGGCTCGAACACTGAAGCTCAGCAACAGTAGACAGGCTTCCAACGCGCTGCGCCACCAGCTGAGCCGACGAGCCTCCCGACCATCTTAACCATGTGAATAAAGCAAGTTCCTCCAGACTTGAGCCCCATCCAGCTTCAAACAAGAGCCAGGACGTATTTTTCCAAGGACATATTATGACAGGCAGCCACGAGTGTCAGATATGAGCACAGGTGTCAACGCAATCCACCTTTTTGGAGAGAGGACGCTCATTAGTCAAGGAAAAATGTGGCTCCTGCACGGTGACAATGACTGAGGTGACGAATCCCCTCTGAGGAAGTATGTTTTCCTGTGAGAGAAAAGTCATCTATGATCACGTGTACTGATGGACTGACCCGTACGTGGGTTTGATGATTAAGTGAGTTTTGAAGTCCGGTCCTGTGGCTCAGCGTGTTAGACGTCTGCTTGGGGTTTCTCAGGTCATAGGTTCAAGTCTTATGAGAAGAGTTGAATTTTGAAGTTGTGCGACCAAAGCCGACAGTCAAAGCCTCCAGCACTGAGCCGCCAAGTGTCTGGTCCTGTGGCTCAGTGTGTTAGAGCAGTGTGTGGTGTCCCAGAGGTCGTGGTTCGATCCCACGCTGTCAGTTTTGCAGTTTAGCAGCCAAAGCCAAAAGTCAAAGGCTCTGAAACAGACTGTCTGAGGAGCAGAGCTGGTGGCGCAGTGCGTTGAAAGAGCGTCTGCTGTTCCTGAGGTGGAGTGTTCGAGTCTTATGGCTGTTGTTGAGTTTTGGAGCCCGGTGTCCAAAGTGAAGAGTTAAGAGGGCGGCCAGAAGAGCTGCAGATGCGAAGCTCGTCAGTGGCGTAAGGGGTTCACACACGGCCGGGGTGGCCGTGCCAGTCGGTCGGTAGACTGGTTCGAATCCCGCGTCCTGGCGTGTGGAGCGTTAGATAGGCCCACGTCTGCTGGAGGAGGTGGGGTTGGGGGGGAGTCTCCCCCCCGGCCCCCCGGGACGTTGAAGGTAGGGGGTTATGGAGGAGGAGACCAGAGCTGGCTTCTCTTTTACTGTAATATTAATAATAATATCATTATTAATAAATAATATTATTAGAAAAATGATCAACTATATTAATTATATTATTAATAATTAATAGGTAATATTATTAGCAATATTATCAATTATATTAATATTAATTGTATTATTAATATAAAAGTAAAACCTATAAAGAAGCTCTAACCTTTCTAACGTGTGCTGTAAACATCATATGTTTTATACTTGACATTATTTGCTTGAATGTTTCCAATAGAAGTTAAAGAGAGAAGGTTTCCTGTCAAACAGCAGCAGCAGCAGCAGCACCGACCCTGTGGGACTGAGCCCAGGGCTGAAGCGGGTTTCGGACCTGTGTGCTTGCTGGCACCGCCCCCTGAGCCCAGACTGAAAGCCGGTAAAACCAGCGACATATTTAGCAGCTGCGGCTCTTCTGGGCGCCCTCTGAACTCTTCACTTTGGACGGCAGGCTCCAAAACTCAAGGCCCTCCATAAGGTTCGAACACTGAAGCTCAGCAACAGTAGACAGGCTTCCAACGCGCTGTCAGCTTTGAAGTCTGGTCCTGTGGCTCAGTGTGTTAGAGCAGTGTGTGGTGTCTCAGAGGTCGTGGGTTCGATCCCACGCTGTCAGTTTTGCAGTTGAACATCCACAGGAACAAGTTAAGGACACTCAGACAGAAGCCTGATGAGTGACTGGACCTGTGGCTCAGTGTGTAGAGGGGTTGTTTGCAGGTTCTGAGGTTGTAGGTTCAAATCCCATGCATTTAGATGAGTTTTGCAGTTTAGCAGCCAAAGCCAAAAGTCAAAGGCTCTGAAACAGACGGTCTGAGGAGCAGAGCTGGTGGCGCAGTGCGTTGAAAGAGCGTCTGCTGTTCCTGAGGTGGAGTGTTCCAGTCTTATGGCTGTTGTTGAGTTTTGGAGCCCGGTGTCCAAAGTGAAGAGTTAAGAGGGCGGCCAGAAGAGCTGCAGATGCGAAGCTCATCGGTGGTGTAAGCAGGTTCGCTCACGGCTGGCATGGCCGTGCCAGTCAGTAGGCTGGTTCGAATCCCACTTCCTTTCTGGGTGCACCATCTCAAACATGGTCATTTTCCACGTGATTTGGAAAAAGCTGCAGAAATATTGTCATCGCTCTCATTGATCCATATCGACCACCGCGGCTTTAACCAACCCTGTTTTGATTTGTTCATCAAAGCATCGTCCCTGTCTCGGGCAAACGCTGTGTGTTGATCATCACACAGAGAGCACCACGCAGCCCTGGTAATCTTTTAGGATACAATAACGTATGACATTTTCTCATTGAGACATCTGCTGAGGAAATGAGAGGCACTAGTGTTAATAAACTAGTGCTCATATGGCTGAGGAGGCTCCTGCCAACCCAAACAATCACCCCCAAGGTCCCCAGACCCCAGATTGGGAAGTGTTTGTCTAGACCGTCTCTTATTGGCTGTCGAGGGCCTCTTGCCAGAGCCACAGACACATTGTCATTCAGCTCAGGTCTGTCGGTCCGAGTCTCATAGCAACATGAGGAAGAGAGGCGACACTGTAGCCTTGGCAACCAACCAGCGCTGAGAGGGAGGGGTCAGTGTGTGTGTGTGTGTGTGTGTGTGTGAGGAGTGAAGGGGGGGGGTGTCTGCAAGAGTGAGAGTGAGAAACACACACATACATAAACACTTGCATTGGCTATTTAACATAATGTGCTCAATCTCATGCTCTACCACATCCACTCATACTAACAGAGGAAGACAGTTAATAAAGGTAGGGCTGGGTGGCACCAGGGCTCACACACACACACACACACACACACACACACACTTGTGGCTCTAGGGGATGAATGGAGGGGAGGTGCAGGAGGTGCTCGCTGAAATATGAAATGTGCCTCAATGATTGGTTGGCGACTAAACAAGACAGGTGATAATGAATGAGCGTTGTATTTACTGGCGACGTACGTGACTCAGGAACAAACAGCACCACCACGGATCAGATTTTCTCCTCTGGTGACCATGGGATTCGATTATATTGCATTAACAGCCTCACTCCTCTGTCTCTGTCTCTTTAATGATTAAATACCGTTAATCTTGACCCGCACCCTGCACTCGTTATTCATCTGCACTTTTCTGTCTTTTTCCTGCTCGTGTGCAGAGCCGCTTGTTCCTGTTGGTCAGTCGGGTCATGCGTCGTTCAACGCCGCCTTTTCCAATCAAAGGCGCTCGATGTGTCGTCTGAAGCGGCAGCGTTGACTCTTAACGGCGAGAGATGAAGAACCTCCCAGGTGAGCCATTTTCACAACACTGCCCGCCCGCCCGCTCGCTCGCCCGCCCGCCCGCCCGCCTGCCCTGGCGCGTTTTTGTCGTCATCTCTGCACAGCCATGTTCACGAGCTGTCCGCGGATCGAAGACGGGCAGAAGGAGGAATGAATGAAAGAACGAAAGAATTGGAGGGTGGGGTTGGAAATTGGGACATGAAGGAGAGCAGGGAGAATAAATCACCCAGTGAGGAGGACGACGCCTCCTGATTGGAAAAGCGGCGGGGGATTCTCTCTCTCTCTCTCTCCTTTCTCTCCTTTCTCTTATCTTTGTCTTTCTCTCATCACTCTTCTTTTCTTCCCTCCTCCCTCTGTCATTTCTCTTGTGCTCTGCAGAGACTCAGTGGAAGCGTACACGCTGCACACATGCGTGCACAAACGCTCGCTCACGCTTCGAGTCGTGCATGCTGGGCTCAGTCGGCGCCGTTTTCTCGGACGCCTGTAATCATGACGGACAAGAGCCCATTAGCTTGTTAAAAATCCTGCTCCAGAACAGACGCCGCTGATGCAGGCAGCACTCTGCCCCCCCCCCCCACCCACACACACACACACACACACACTCCACCTCGTCCACGCCAAAACAAGAAACTCAAACAAAAACACAGCGCGAAAAGCAATCTCAACCCTTGGCACGGCGCACGGCGGCACTAATAACAACACTTGGCGAAAAGCAGCTGCCCAGTGCTACCACTGAGGCCCACTGGGAGCCCCCCAGTACAATCACATTCACAGCACAACAGTAACCCATTGTGAGTAATAACTGTTGAAGGGGTTTGACCAGAGCCTTTAGTCCGCAGGCGTGTATCGCTAAGGCAGCTTGATTAGTAGCTTCAGATGGACTGGGGCAGGGGGGGGGCGGCTGTGACGTGGTGACCTGCTGACCCCACAGGCTCACGGGGCAAAGACTAGATGCATGCACATGTGGTCTGATGATCTGAAAAGTATTGATTACAAATCAAATGTCGTTTTTTTTTTATCTTTCATTTTTACTTCAAACGACAGAAAAATGTCTTCAAATCATTGAAAATCATCGGGGGGGGGGGGCAGCGGCTCTAATTGTAACACAAGTGATATCGAAGAAGCTTGAGGAGGTTGTTTTTCATGTGTGTTTGTGTGTGTGTGAGTTTGTGTGCACTGCTCAGTGAGTGGGTGTGTTTGTTTCCAACACCAGTTATTATCACAGCACTAATTACCCAGGGGAATTGTGGGTAAACAATCATTCTAAAGAAAAGAAGCTCAGAGGGAAGGAGGAGGAGGAGGAGGAGGAGGAGGAGGAAAAGTGTTGGAACCTGAAAACAAAAGGAGTGAGAGGAGTGAACGTCCTCCAGCCCAGAGTCACTCCATCAGAGAGCAGCAGTCTGACGTCAGGACACCTGATCCAGGTGTGTCAGGGCCGGAGGGGGAGGAGCAGGGTCTGAGCCACGCTGCAGAGGCTGGCGTTGAGACACACCCACCTGTTGCCGCCGGATTCCCTCTTTATAACGAGAGTTGGTGTTGAAACGGCAGCAACGAGCCAAGTGTGTCGTTTCGTATCAAAGCCGTGTTGTTTCACATCATCGGAAAGTAACGCCAGGGTCTAAATGTGGAGACCCGTCTGTCCTGCGGCACTTCAATGCACCATGATTCACCGTGCGGCATCTTTTGAAAAGGCTCTACAGCTCACCAGCACTAAACTCTGTGTGTGTGTGTGTGTGTGTGTGTCATGACTCACATGGCTAACATTTATTCTCTCTGCCACTCCTCCTCCCTCTCATCTCTCTGGATGTAGACATCACAGGACTCACTCTGTCTGAGTGCTGCACCGACTGCTTTATGAATGGAGGCACACGCCTACATACACAGACGTGTGCCTGACACACACACACATATAGACACACGCAGCCCTGTTGCTTAGAAAAGACGAAAGAAGAAAAGCGGCTCCGCAGCTGTACATATGTGGTGTCTCGGCATCGTATGGCTGAATCCATTTCTTCTCTCCTCCGTCTCTGACAGAGCTGGTTTCAGCACCGGGAGCTGTCCACTCTGATGATTCACACGGCCACGTCCGCAAAACTAACGCTTCAAACGAGGCTGAGATGCGACTGCAGCCTGTTTGTTTTGCCGACCCCCTCCGGTGCTTTACGACGTTTCCGTGACCTGGACGTTAAAGGGGCGGGGGGGCGGGGGGGCGGCGGCGGCGGAGGAGAGAGGAGATAAAGTATCAGCAAACAAACCAGAGGAGCAACAAGGGGATGAAAGAGATGGATCGAGGGTGGACTTGAATTGATGGTGTTTGGGCTCCCAGGGCCTCTCCGGC